ACCCTGAGGTCCCTCGTGCCCCTTGTGGGCTGAGGTTGCTGTTGGGGAAGACAAGCGTGTGAATGTTAAGACTGAGTAGCTGGAGTGTGATTCTCAGGAGCTCTGCTTTTCCTCTTGCCACTGTCACATCTGGAGTGGGGGGAGCACGCTGTAAGGAGGGAACTGAGCATAAATGTACTCTTGAACTTTCCCTTGCATGAGATAACACTGCAGCAGACATGGCTGGAGATAGCAAGTGTTGAGGCACTCTCAGTTCCCAAAATCACTCCTAAAAGTGCTCCCTTATGCAAGACCTCAGAGGACCAAATCTGTGGTTGAACCAGATGCTGTCTAAATTATTAATGTCCTAGCATCAGGCCAGCAAAATTGGTTAAATGCGTAGTTAATTCCAAAACACTTTCATTGGAATATTTGGGGTGGGGAAGCAAACCAGGAGCCTTCCAAATGATGTTCTGCCTCACAGTGTGCTGAACGTCAGGACCACTTGCACAACACTGAGAGGAAAAAAATGATGCAAGTAGAGTTGTGTTGGTCCCAAAAATTGATTACTGCTCACTTGTTTAAGATAATTGCTCACCTAGAGCATCTCACAGGCAGCTTCAGAGTGTGTTTTTGAAATCATCTTTCCATGTCACTGAGAAGTTATTTGTTAAGTCTTTTAGCCAGTATTGTTGTCATTCTTTTTTTTTTCTTTTTTTTTTTTTTTTTTTTTTTCAAAGAAAGCACAGTATAAAACAAAAGTAATTTCACTACATTTATTTTCAAATTGTTTTATTTCTGTTTTCTGGCAGCTGTGCTGCTGGCATGGCAATGCTGTTGTTGTGCAAGCACGGAAAATAAGAAAGCCTGGGTTATCAGTGTTATTATAAATAGTTATTAAAGCTGACAGGATTTTAAATGTTATTATTAACATTCTTAATGTTAACTTGAGGGTAGAATGAGAGAATGTAATGTAGCTCTGGCTGTTTGACAGCTGGTGGGGGCTCCCTGCAGGACTGTCTATGGTTGGAGTTCTGTCATCCTTCCTCAGCTATTCCTTGCTTTGGGAAGGAGATGAAAAAGAATCTGGTTGCTTCTCTGAGTTTTATCTGCTTGCACAGATCAGTTTATCTTGAGTTTTGGTGGTTTTGTGGTAACCTGTGAATAAGGCATTGCATCCATAGGTGTGTACTGTAGTGGTGATGTTTCTACCAGAGGAATGCATCCAGCTGTAATTGCCAGAAAGTTGGAAAAGGCAAAGGGTGTAACAGTTTCCCTCATGTGAAACTCTGAAATGGGATGGGTATGACAAGGTAGAAGGAAAAACAGATTTTATTATGCCACGAGCATGTAATTTTTACAGGAACATGATTTTACCTTCACCAGTCGATATAAGTTGGGACGTTACCCCCAACAAATGTGATACAGAATGTTTGCATTAAGCCCTGAGTTGCTTGCTTTTTACTTAATTTTTGTAAATTGTGTGCAAATCTGTATTTTTAAGGAGCAAGTTCGATATGAAGATTGGTGCCAAAACACATCTGTTAGCAGCTTTTAATCTTCACGTTTGACAAAGCGTATAGATATGGACAAATTGTAATTTACATGATGAAACCGCAGGGTGATGGATTGCTGCAGTGGCGTGGAACGCCATGGAAAGGAAATAAATTTCACAAGATAAAAGGAGGGGACTGGAGTGCATTTACTTCTATCAGAAGCTTTCACAGGCTATGTGCACTGCAGCTACTACTACCTGGGCTCAAATCTACCAGAGTAAATCCCCTCCAGCAAATAAAGCTTTCTTTGGTACTCTGCTTTATTAGAAAGGAGATTGCTTGGTTTGAGGGTCATTCTAGAGTACAGTTCGAATGAACTCGAGTTGCTTTCCAAGATAAACACAACCCCAGAACAAAGCATATCTTGGTTTACTGTTACATACAATGGCGTTTTAAGAGCTTGCACCTGGCGTGGCAGGGCCAACATTAAAAGCTTGTGAAGAATTGCCAATGCAACATATGGCACACCCCACTGACAGAGCCAGAGCTGGTCTGGACTGGGTACGCCCGTGCCAGGGGTTAAGGTTTTCCTTGCAGTGATACTCAGCAGTTAAGCATTTATCACTGTTGTAACGAGCTGTAATTGCTCATGGTCTTCCCCAAAACTCTCTCTCAGAGTCATCTCTGATTGTGCCTTCCTGTTGCTTTTTGACACCATAAAATGCCTGTTCTAGACTGATCAGTTTGCCCATTATCTTCCTCTTTACCTGTGACTGTATTACACCCTAACAGCTTCCCTGTGGGTTACATCCATCAGTAGCAGGGCTCAGCTTGGCAGTCCTGAGGCTGGGGTTTGTCTTTTCCATCTCCCCTTTGTGGTCACTCTCTGCTCAGCTCTGTGCAGGACTCAAACCTATGTGGGGAAGGAAGCGAAACGTCGCCTGCTTTAAAATCGTCCTGTGTCTTTGCTTAAAGGACCTAATCCAAGTGACCATTGCATATTGCCTGCTGTGGAATGCAGGAAAGCAGCTTCAGTTTCCCCTGCATCTGCTGGGATTTTTCTAGGATCAGTCCCTATGGAATATCAAAGTGGGGGATGCTGCAGGGCTGCAGCCTCTCAGCACTTGTGGGGCGAGGTGGGAACCTAAGAAGGGAAAGGGATGGTCACAGCTCTGCGGGTGGGGTTTTGCTGCATGCTGCCATGCAATCCCTTTCATAAGGCTGCAGCTTTCCACAATAGGGTTGGGGAATCCTCCTGCTCCTCTTCCACTTCAAACTGCTCTAGTCTGGCTTGTGCTATCAACATTATCCTAATTTTTCTTTCTGAGGAGGATGCAGAGCACTCCTTTGAGGGCTAACAGTGCCTTATGGATGGCCAGGATCAACTGATAAGCCTCTGGACTTAGCACGGAGGTCCTGTCACCTACTGCCGAATGACACAGGATGGGATTTTTATCAGAGAAACAACTAAACTACTAAACTTGAGAGTCTTCAGAGCTCGTCTCTGGGTGCGAGATGTTATTTAGTTCCCCCCGCCACTTTTTTGTTGTGCAAGGACTGCACCATCTGGATAGCAGATGATACCTTTACATTTGTCTGTTTCCAGTTTTCCAACTATAAATCATCTGATTTAGCTGGTTTCTGCTGCTTGAGCTCTTAGTATTTGATCCAGCTCTCCTTTAAAGCCATGCTGTCCCAATAGGGAGCCTTCTGCTGGGACTCCTGCTCCCACTGTGCCTTCCAAATATATATATATCTAAAATATAAAATGTATATATGCAGTGGAGCATCTGAATCAGATTCCACAGCCACCACAAACAGCTTTCTACGTGGATTCTTCTTCTCAGCCAAACAGGCTCTTTGTGGACAAAAGAAGGGTAAAGTGCTATCTGATGAACATTGCTGGCCAGTCAAAATCCAGCACTGAGCTGCATTAGCTGCAGAAAATTGTTCTTCTGTCTCTCTGACCAGTTCACTTGCCTGTTGAAGAGAAACCATGTTTTTTCTGGAGTTGTCAGAAACTCAGCAGGTCTTTATCTGTCATCTCTTTCTATAAGAAATGAGGGTTTGAAAATTTGCTGATGTTATTGGCAAAGCCAGCCTGATTATGTAATGCTTCTTTTATTATTATTATTTGTTTTTGTTAAAACCTGTTGCCTCCCTAATTTCATGGGTTGTCAACAAGTTTTTGGACTAGAAGGTTAGGCTTAGTTTCTCCACAGTCCTTGCACTGAGATGGGCAATAGTAAGGTCCTCAGCTTATATGTGGTACCAGATCTTCCTCATGTACATTCATCTCCACTTAGTTTTATTGTCCTCTCTGCCATGAAGTCAGTTCCCAAACCTCCAGCAGGTGACATGTGAAGGCCATCCACATCTCCAGCTGTTTGTGTTGAGGGACTTTGCTCTTTCTCAGGGATCTATTTGTGTCTCCTCCAGCACAGTCTTGGATCACAGCCTCTTTAGAGCACTTCCCTAAACACCTTACAAGGAGTTTTCATGTGTGGCTAATTAACACTTGAACTTACTCTTGAGGGACCTTCTCTATTCAGTGCTTGAGATGGGCCCACCGTGTGGTCGGGATGGAGCTAATGCTCCTTGGACTGGCTGGATGGAAATGGTTTCAATGAATGTTTTGAAGCTGGGCCAGAGAGTGAATCAAACATGAATGACCATGAGTCACTTTGGAAATCAGCCCTTTTGAGGGCTCAGGGGTGACGTGCCTGCTGCAGACAGCTCCGCTCGCACGCCCAGCGGCTGCGCTGCGGCTTTGGGGGTCCTCCCGGCTTGTCCTCAGCTGCAGGGTTGTAGCTGCCACCTCCTTCGGGTGTGGGGAATGGCGTTACTGAGCGTGATGAGTGCTGAGTATAAATGAACCCGGGTATCTGTCATGTAAATGCTGTGTTGAGGGACTTGAATGTGATATAAAGGAGCTGGCCTCTGTGCTGGGGAGCCCTGCTGGGTGATTGTCCAGGAAGAGCCACAGCCCTGCTGAGGAGGTGGGCATATACTCCCAGTGGGTTTGGTACAGGAATCATGTCAGACATGCCATATTGACATACTGCTTTTTCCTGAAAAATCCCAGCATCATCATCTTTAGCATGTGTTTGCAGCAGAGCTCAGAGAATGCAGCTTTGTCTGACATCTTTTGACTTGGGTGTATTTTACTGCCTTTCCTGAGCTTGAGTGGTGTTGCCTGTCCCGTTAGAGTGCCTGTCCTTGCAGCCCTGGAAGGGGTCCCACATCATACAGGATGTACTGCGTGGTACAAATAATGTTTTGCAGAGATGGGGGCTGTCTATGTCCCCTGGAGTGGCAGATACACCCAAGGAGGTGAGCCAGACCCTTTCATCTGTTCCCCAGATCTGTGGACCACATAAGCAGGGACCAGATGGCGATGGCTGACCCCTCTACGTCTCTTCTGCACAGCTCTGTCCCATTCATCTTGGGGTAAATGTGTGGGGTTTTTTGCTTTGGTGATTGAGGGCTAATTTTCTTGTCCTTTTGTTTTTTTCTCTCATGAAGGTAAACCCCACGCCGCAGGGTACGCGAGCGCTGCTGAAAATGATGTACTGCCCACACTGCCGAGGTCTAGTGTCAGTAAAGCCCTGCTACAACTACTGCTTTAATGTCATGAGAGGCTGCTTGGCCAACCAAGGGGACTTGGATGCCGAGTGGAATATCTTTATGGGTAAGGCAATATGGGTTAAAACTGCATGTAGGTCTGCACTGATACTGTGTCCCTCACCTGAATAGCATTGTGAGTGGCTGTGCTGAGCTGTAGCAGGTTTTTCAGGTATCTGGGTATCTGTGATGGGTATCTTTTCCTTCCACACCTCTCTTTACAGCACACATTTTGCCATTCACATTAACCTCTACATAAATGAGAATGTTGTGCCACTGACTTTCGTTGCATCAAGCTTTAGGAGGATGGAGGTGGCATGGGCTTGTAGGCTTGGAATGTTTCTTCTTGCTGGACCAAGCATGTATGCAAGCTGGTTTTTCTATACTACTTACACCATGTTGTCACCATACAGCTATCCTTCCTGAAGTCACTAGAAGTCAGTTTTCTCCTTCAGCAGCTTGGGAGTCTCCTTGCCAGCCACAAAGAGCATTGGGAAAAGCCAGTAGGCCTGGATTTTACGCTAAAAATTGAACAGGACATGTCTGAATCTGTTTTTAAACAGCTCATTTGGTGCTCGTCCACCATCCTTTTGCAATGTCAGCAGGTCTTGCATGACACTGTTCTGTGCTTATACACATTATCATTCAATACATAAAATTTACACTGAAATGTTAAATTCTACCTTGGGTCAAGGCTCATCAGAATTGACAGTGCATCTCATTTTGGGGCACAGGCAATAGATAATGTTAAATGTTTTCATTTGTGCTGCTTTTCCAGGAATTTTGATTTATCTGTGATTGAGCGTCCTTTGGGAGCAGTCACTTCACTCTAGTTAATGTGTGATGAAGTGCACATACAAAGTATCTGCTGCTACTGAAAAAAAAAAAAAGATTGTTAGAAAGAAAAGATTTTTGTTTCATTAAGTTGCAAGATTTAAAAAGAAAAGAAATTGCTGCTAGCTGACATTTCAGGCTACATTTTTGTCTTAGAACTTTCTTTCCTCTGTTTTGTGCACTGGATTTTCACTTTGCTGCCCATGCCAACTGAATGTGTGCAGGATGTTTTTGTGTGTGTATCCCATATAGGGAGCTAAATGTGACACTAAGTTTGGTTTCCAAGTAATTCTCTGTGAGGCTGACACCCCCCCCCCCCCCCCCCCCCCCCCGCCTCAGTCCTCACAGCCATCCTTCTCATGAGAATATTAAGTATTTCAACTACAATTGTTGCTGAAATAGCTCAAAGCCAGGAGACTTGCAAACATCTAGTCCAAGTAGAAAAGAAGAATCTCTTGAAAGGGAAGGGCATAATGCCAGAAAACAGACAAAAGCACAAGCAGCTAATTGCTGTAGGTGGTATGCAGCTAAAAACGAACCTCGGGACAAGCCGGCGAGCCCTGTCACACGAGACTGATCAGGGACTGCCTGCAATAATTAAGATTATTAAACAAGACAAAATAAATACGTGTGATTCCAGGTCAGAAGCAAAGCTTTCTTCTTGCGGTGCTTCCTTCCCAAAAGGTTTCTTGCCCACTCATTACTTAAGTATGGTATTAAGCTTCATTACATTTATTGGCAGTATTTGCTTGGTCCTTGCACTCTGTGTTGATGGTTGCAGTGGAGTACAGATACAGAAAACTTAAGCTGTGCTTTCTTTAGACAATTTAGTAAGTGAACAGGTGCTGGTTATGTTCCAGACTTTGGTTTCTCTCTCAGTTTGCAACTCGAGACAAATTAAATATATCTGGTGTTTAGGGCTGGGCATATGCCACAAGTATCTTGTGTGTGTGTGTTTAAAGGTTTAAATAATTAAAGAAATAACACCCCCAAAAATTCCCCCCAAACCACCTCACAAAATCCCAAAAACCCATCTCCATGGTCTCATTGAGATTTTACATCATCAGTTTAAGTGCCAAGTTATGTCAATGATTTATCATGAGTCAAAAGCAGATTTTGAATCTATCAAATCAATTTAAAAATAGTTAAATTAGAGAACTTGTAGCAAGTGCTGCAAGTCTATATGAATGTGGGTGCATGTGAAATACTCATTTGTGTGTGTACTGGGTCTATAAGTAAGTCAATTATGTAAAGCTGGGATGTAAAGTTTGTAGGTTTTTTGAGACAAGAAGACTTTGTAATTCCTTATTTCTCCAAAGTACCATTTAAAGCTGAGGAGTATGAAATAATGACCGAATTGTACTCTTTTCTCCCCTTTAACTATCTGAATTATTTCTCCCTCTATTCCTGACACAATTGTACACCAATTAGACAGGGGTATACTTTGTTTCAAACAGGCTGTTGGGGGGTTGGAGCTTTCCTGAATGAACAGTGTTAATCTCCAGTGCCTTTTCATGATTTTTTTTTCTCCACAAAGGTTTACTCTGCTCAAAGATGTCGAATTCAAGCTCCATATACATATCTGGAGTACTACTTTGTGTGCAAAGAATTTTTCACCCCCCCCACCCCCTCTAAAAAAAAAAAAAAGAAAAAAGATTGTTGTTAATGAATGGTCAAGGTCTTCCCCCTCCTTCCTTCCCCTTTTAAATCAGATCTTGGGGTTAAGACTGAAAACTGCCTTTTGTTCTTCAAGTCAGACAGTGAGGCTGAAGATGTGGGTTTCTGATTATTGGTGGCACAATGAGAAAGAATTGCTTTCCTTCATGAGAGCGAGGTGCTTTGTTGCCAAGGATTGTCTCAATGCCAGTAGCAAGGACAAATGTATGCAAGAGGAAAAGGGTCTTTAAGGGATGGTGCTAGATGGTGTGTCTTGGTTGTGGTTTTTTTTTTTTCACCTAAATCCACTTCTTTTTCCCCATCACAGGGAGGAGAGACAGTCTTTGCCATGCTGTGTGTTTGTAATATGTGGCCCGGGTACATTTTTCATTCTGCCAAAGTTGGGTATTTTGTGAAGCAAAGCTGAGCCATTTCACTGAGGCTTATGAATATCATTTACTTTGCACGAGAGCTGGGGAAAATTCTTGTTATTTGTAATCAACTCCTCTCTCCTCCCCATAATGGAAAAATTCTGAGTTGCTCAGAGCTCATCTCCCAGATGAGATGAGGAGGTTCCTGGAGCAGGAGCCTCCCCTCCTCTAGGCAGCAGTGCTGGCAGTGCCCTGAGCCCCAGCCAGCCTTAGCAACATCAGATGGGGCTGCCAGAGAGAACCACTGCTCGTCACCACTGCTGTGGGGACACCAGCCAGCTCCTGGTGGGAGGTAGAAGTTTGCAGGATGCTTCCAAAATCAAAACTGTGGATGAGGCAGAGCTCCCCCCCCTCCAGAGCCCTTGCTCCTCCCCACCCCTTTCTAATGAAAGTTTATTTCGTTTAGTGTTCCTTGCCAGTATCAATCCCAACTCCAATTACTACTTTCCTTATCTTTTCTTGCCAGCTTTGGCAGCTCTGCTGGAGGCCGAATGCATTTTCTCTATCTGCAGTCAAAGCAGAGACTGCATTCCTGGGCTGTGATACATGGAATGCCATGGCACCCCTGCTAACAAAGGACCCAATTCGCTCTACATTCCCATGGTCTTGTGGATGGCCTGCCCGGCTCAAAGTTTACAAAGATGCCAAACAGCCAGAAGAATTGGGGTTTATGTTTCCTTTCAGTCTTTCACAAACACTTTATTGATCTGTGGCCTTTCCTGGCCACTCAGAGAATTAAGTAGTTACAAAATGGAATGATTTTTCTTTTTTTTTAAAAAAAAACCCCAAAACCCTATGCATTTTGTGTGTTTTATTATCTGTCTATTCATAATATTTTTATTTGAAATGAGCGGCTTCCTCCACACTACACTGGGATGTTCTTTATGCGCGTGAAAAACCCCAAAAGCTTTGACAATGATGAACACATTTAAGTTGTGCTCCACTTGTTTACAAAAGTCTCCATTTGGTGGCACATCAAAAGCATTTTTCTCTCCTCCGGCACAATGGTATATTCATGCTAGCAGTCATTACTCAGAGATTTGAAGCATCACTTTATTGGAGCCCACCACAATACAGTCTAAGAGTCTTTGTTTCATTTGTTATTACCGTCCCCCTTTTTTTTTCCTTTTTTCTTTCTTTTTTTTTTTTTTTTTTTAATGCATTTAGTTCAGACCTGTTTGTAGTCCCTGACGGTGAAATTCCAGCCGTGCCCTGCAAAGAGCTCTGTCACTGATGCTGGTGGTGTGTGCTGCAGAGTGAGGGCCTTTCCTGGGGCCTCCAGCACCACCAGGACTCACTTCCTAAACACCCACACCTTGGTGGAGCTGAGAGAGTGAGAAGGGGTTAATTAATGATAGTTCTTTAACTAACACCTAGCAAATCGTCAGAATACAGAGTTTTCTTTAAAAACTGGATTTACAGGCTAGGAAGGCGTCTGCAATTCATGTTGGGGTTATGGTGTTGGATTATTGTTATAATTGGTGGGTTTTGTTGTTTTTATTAATAATAATAATGTTACATACACAAATAGTTGTGTATTTTTCATCATTTGTGGTTTTTTAATATAGTTTATTTAACATGATTTGGGCACTAAGGCAGAACTATTACTAAATTGTTCAGTATGTAGAGTTTCTTTATAGAGATTTAAGAGATAGCCAGAGCTCACAGAAGTTTTCTGTTTGTGCAAAGTACCTTCTGCACTTAGGAGGAGGATGAATGTCATGAGAAAGATTAATAGACTGAGTGTGAAACGCCCATTTCTCATTAATGGAAGGGACCAGGCATATCTTAGGAGCAGGGAGGAGCTCCTTGGGGCCAGAGGGGCTGTTCTGTCCTCATCACTCAGGCTAGGAAAAATTGAAGAATTAGATGCAACTGGAAAAAGATGAGTTTGTGGCAGAGCATCATGAAATGATGCAGGAGAGGAGACCAGCAAATACTTTGGGGTTAAGGGACCACAGTGAAAGCTAACAGTAAATTAAAGTCGCGATGGGTGAGAAGAGACAAGAGCTTAGTGCCAGGTGTATTCCTGGAGGCACCTTGTAAGGGAGAACCAGAGAGAGGGTTTAAATGCAGTGCAGGGTGAAAGCCTTAATGACAGTAATAATTTCCCAGAGGAAGTAGTGGATGGTCCAGTAGCTGCTGTGTTTAATGATGCATTTGATGAGGACATGCATGTCAGCACAGGAGGAGTGACCCAGTGTTGGCTGAGGGACTTTCCATCTCCCCTTGCTTAGAGATGTGTCAAATACACCATGAGTGTACAGCATTCACCCTGCACTCACACAGACTCCCTCCCTTATGCAAATTGTCCATATAATTCTAGGAGTTGCAATCCTTTAGCTTCCCCAGGCAGGAAAATTCCTGTAGCTGTCCATAAGGGAAAGATGGTATCAAGGATTATCTTGGACCCTTGCGTGTTGGTGCCTTGTGCTCAAGACCAGCATGAGGAAGATGATGGCTTTGGAAGCAGTGTTGAAAAACAAATGACACAAGGCAACCTTTAATAAACGAGCATGGAAAGGAGAGTGTTAGTAATGCTTGTTCTGATGGGAGGAGCTGATTACAGGCTGCTGTTGGCAGGCTGTGATGGCTTTTGATGTTCATGAGCCTGTGGTTTGGTGCTGGCAGCATCTAAGTGTCTGGTGAAGGTGTAGGCTCTGGGAACCGAGCAAAATGTTTCCTGGAGATGTGTGCTGGTCAGAGGTGACACTGCAGTGGTTAATGTCCATGTGCTCAAACTGTTACCCTTCTTAACTCTTACTCCTGAAGCTCCTCCGTTAAAAACCTTCATTTTTCTCTCTATGTGTTAGATTCGATGCTGCTGGTAGCAGAGAGGCTGGAGGGACCTTTCAACATTGAGTCTGTCATGGACCCCATTGATGTGAAAATTTCAGATGCGATCATGAACATGCAGGAGAACAGCATGCAGGTGTCTCAGAAGGTAAATGAGCCAAGAGGACACTTGAGCTTTTTTATTTAATGTGTTTTATTTCCCTGTTCTTGTCAATATGCATTTCCTTAAATGCCCTTTCAAATATATATAAAGCTAATGTATTATTTTGGGCAGATACTGCATTGGACCCTGGAAGAGGGAAGCTCTTGTGACCTCTTATTTCATAAAATCCTTTCCTTCTCTCCCATAGGTTTTCCAGGGCTGTGGCCAGCCAAAAACACTTGCCCAAGGCCGGACTGCTCGCTCTGTCTCTGAAAGTAGTTTCAGTGCTCGTTTCAGACCCTACAACCCAGAGGAGCGACCAACAACAGCTGCTGGCACGAGCTTGGACCGACTGGTGAGTGTCTGTTCCTGCTGGTGCCACACAGGCGCTTCATACTCAGGTACCAAGGTGTATAATTTACCATTTTTAATTGATAGGCTTTCTTAATATTCCTTAGGTGTCTTAAAACTCTCTAAGGGGTGTAATCTGTCCATAGTTCTAGACATTAATTACCTCAATGCTTCTATGTCAGAGGAGTGCCTGTGTTAAAAGCTTGGCTTATGAATAATATGTGTTTGAGGAGCAGTGTTTAATTTTGTATTAAAAAAGTAAATCAACCATCAAAACTCACAGCCTGAAGATCTGGCCTGTACACGTCTGTTGTGATAAAAAATACCTTCCCAACTTCACTTTTACTGAGCATTTGGTATTCTGGATTATGTCTTATGTTCTTTTTTTTCTTTTATTTAATAGGTTACTGATGTGAAAGAGAAGCTGAAACAAGCCAAAAAATTTTGGTCATCTCTTCCTGGCAACATTTGCAATGATGAAAAGATGTCTGTAGGCACTGTCAATGAGAACGAGTGCTGGAACGGGAGCGCCAAGAGCAGGTTTGGTGGTGCTGTTGCCCCTGATTAACTCTTTCCCTCTCACCCCAGACTTTCCCTGTGTCCTGACACCTCTCCCTGAGCCCTTTTCTCCTACAGGAGTGATCCCAGCTCACCCAAGACAGGCTGCTGCTATTACTCCTTTAGTTTTTGTAGGTGGGAGAGCTGGAATGTAGCACCAAAGTGTTGTCCAACCTCTATGTGGGAGTTTCTTTTAGAGGAGGGAACAGAGCACAGATACCCAAATAGGTCATCTCTCCTTGGACTTAAGCCCCTTACTAGTTGTGTGTGGAACTGGGGAGATGATCTGTACAAAATCCTGTATTGCAGCCACAGAGCAGAGGTGCTTGTGTGTTTTGACAGTGCTGTTGCCCCAGTTCCCCCAGTTGGTGTTTACACCAGGAACTGGTTTCTTTGTTGAGCAAGGACAGGGGTGATGGAGGTTGGAGACCTTCTCCACTGCTGAGGTCAGTGGCACAAGGGGGCCAGTGGTTACATTCACACTTTATATGGGAAAAAAGAGTTACAAAACTCTCTCTTTTTTTTCTTTTTTTTTTTCTTGTAAGGAAGAAATTGCCAACACATGAGTAAGCCAGAGTTTTTCTGTCATATGGTTTATGTAACTGTTTTACTTTTATTTTGGAAATAAAAGTTTCTCTTTTTTTTTTTTTTTTCCTGTTTGCTTACTGAGGAAATAAGCACAATCCAAGATGTTCCATTAAAAAAAGCAGTTGTCTGGGGTTTTCCAGCAGTAGATTCTGCTCTTGATAGTTTTGGGCCACAGCACTAAGCCAGACCTCATAATTTTGCCCTGTTTTGTGTGTGCCTAAAACTCTGCTATACTTTGCTAGGGTGATGTTTTGGGTGTATATGGACAAGAAATGTCTTTGCCTCCTGAAATTGTGTTTGTCAGTAGCTTCTAGGGTCTTTTCATAGCAGATACCTCCAGTGTGTGCAGGGGCACCAGTATCGAGGAGAGATGGTGACTTGGCAAGGAGACAGGGCAGGCTGCATATCCTATGTGGGTCGGACAAGATAATTTGTTTTACTGTTTTCTCCATGGCTCCAATAAGGCAGAAGTTCGGTAGTCTTCCACTCTTTGGTCTTAGACTTCTTTGAAACATATATTGATCACAAATAACAAAACTGTCATTACCAATTATCACTGTCATTGTCACTCCCATATATATGGGACAGGGTTTGAGCATGCTTTTCAGAGAATGCTTACTTCTCACTGCCCAATGTTCAGGATCAGTAGACTGTGCTAAAGGCTTTTCTCTCTCTTGTGATACTGATGTTGGCATTATAACTAAGAAAAGTAATGTTCTCTTCTGTTAAACTGATCTTTCTAGCAAGCCAGGTAATTGGAGGAGAGGGGAAATGTGTCTTATCCCTGCTGTATAAGATGATACTTCAAATACCTGTGTCAGGAAATGCAATCTGTTGGGTTTTGTTGCTCAGTCTCTCTTTTAAACCAGGGGGCTGTATATGTGTTCACATATATGCATGTATGCATGTACACCTTCTGAAGCTGAGCATCTTGCCTCTCCCCTTCTCTGATATGTGGGGCTTCAGGATCTCATCTTCAGCATCACAGGTGTTTCTCTTGCTGGGGTTATTAGGGAAATTGCATCTCACGTCTGCGTGGTGAGAAGCACGCATTCAATATCCCAGCTTGATGGTTAAGGTGCAATACTCAAAGCAAGAATGACACTCTTGCCTCCAACAGTTACTATAGGTTTCTGTGGGATAACTATGGTCTGAAAGGTTGTGTTCCCAAAAGTGTCATCTAACTGGCATCAAGGCATCTCAGCACCATGTATTGCTCTGTAGCCAGCAGCAAGCTGATTTATGCTGTTGAAAGCTATTATTAATATAAACCCCAGATTTTTCTTTTCAAGTTGGGGAGAAAATTGTCATTCCCTTGCCCTTGTGGCACAGTGTAAATTAAAACAGTCCTTCATTCCACATGCTGTGGAGATTGCAGGGAAGGGAGATAGGGTAAGAAGGGCTGTGTGAGGTTTATCATGTGGAAAGATGCTGTTGGGCTCAGAATATTACCCAGACTGAAAGCAGGGATGTCATTGCAGTGTTCCCACGTTGTCATTCTTCAGCATGGGACCCTGCTGAGCTGCAGCTCTGGTACCAGCAGGAATGGTTTCTTTTCAGGTATGACTTTGCAGTGACTGGAAATGGCTTAGCAAGTCAAGTGAATAACCCAGAGGTTGAAGTTGACATTACCAAACCAGACATGGTGATTCGCCGGCAAATCATGGCTCTGCGGGTGATGACCAACAAGCTGAAGAATGCCTACAGTGGGAATGATGTTGACTTCATTGACATAAGTATGTTTGCTGTTGTTTGCCTTTTGCTTTTTCTTTTTTCCCCTTTTAATTGGATTTCATGGTAACACGGGTAGCTGGTTAAGCTTCAGCTGTGGGTAAGCGTGTTAGTGAAGAGGGTGGGAACCAGCCTCTCCGACAGGCTGTGTGAGGAGGGGTGTTCCCACAAAGCCATAGAATGGTTTGGGTTAGAAGGCACCTTTAAAGGTCATCTAGTCCAACACCCCTGCAATGAGCTGGCACATCATCTACTGCATCAGGCTGCTCAGAGCCCCATCCAACTAGCCTGACCTTGAGTCTCTCCAGAGATGGGGAACCTACCACCTCTCTGGGCAGCCTGTGCCTCAGAGTTTCACCACCCTCATCATAAAACCATTTCTTCCTTATATAAAATCTAAATCTAATTTCTTTTAGTTTAAAACCATTACCCCTTGTCTTAATGCAGCAATCCCAGCTCTCTCAGTCTGGACTCATAGAAAAGGTGTTCAGGCTCTGAGTATTTCTGTGTCGTCCTCTGGACTCCCTCCAGCAGATCCTTCCTGTGCTGGGGGTCCCAGAGCTGGATGCAGTGCTCCATGTGGGGTCTCATGAGTGGACTAGAGGGGGTGAATCCCCTCCCCTGACTTGCTGCTCACAGTGGTTTTGATGCAGCCCAGGATGTGGTTGACTTTCTGGGCTCCACCCTTCGCCCAGACGTGATGACTGCTCACAGAAATCACGTTAACCAGGGGACCCATGCTTCCCTCTCATAAACACCAGAACAGCCCCACTCTCGCCTTTTCCCCATGCTGCCTTGTGCAGCCAGCAGAGGAGGACAGCAGGTGTGTTTGTTTCCCCAGGTGAGGAGAGCAGCGGGGAGGAGAGCGGCAGCGGCTGCGAACTCCAGCAGTGCTCCCCGGAGTTCGAGTTCAACGCCACCGAGGTCACTGGGAACTCCAACAAGAGTGACAAGACCGTGAACACTTCTGCTGCCACCAGAAGCGGTCTATCACAAGCAGCCTTGCTCCTTAGCATTTTGTTCTTGGCCATGCAAAGACAATGGAGATAATTGTGCAGCATAGGGGGAGGGGAAAAGACTTTTATTATCAGAGGTAGAAGGCACCTGCTTTCACTTTTATACCATCTAGAGACTTTGCTTTTTAAGTTAATGGACAACAGTGTACAGTTTTTACTATGTTGCCACTGGTTTTAAAGATACTGATTGTTTTTTTCCCTTGCTAAACTGGGAATAACAGGAACGGGAAGTACCAGTCTATCCCATTCACCAAGAGTCCATGTTAGAGGTGGATAACAAAAATGTATATACAAGCCTGTAGTTAGCTCTGCATTTGTGTCTTTATCACTTCTTTTTTGTTTTGTTTTGTTTTTTTCTTTTACTGTATTTCTTATGAAAACAAAAACCCCAGGGTCTTCTCTTGGCCTGTAACAAGTATGTGTTTCTGAAATGAGAAATATCTGTACAGAAGCAGGTTTTATTTATCATGTTATCTTATGAGGAAAAAATAATTGCCCAACAAGCAGAAAATGTTTCATGTAGTTAACTTCCCATTTATCCACATTATGTTAGTTGCCTTATTTGGAGAGAAGTGGAAGTCATTTGTCTTCATTATGCGGTAAAAACAGAAGGTGAAGGCAGAACTGGTCATCGTGCCAAGGGCCCCGTTTGCATAGGGCATTCATGCCAGGAGCAGGTTGTGCTCGCTTTACAGGAGGTTTGGTTAAATTGGAAGGGACTACAGAGAATTCCCATTCTGCAGACGCTGAGAAGAGTTGTCGTTTGTTCCCCGGGATCCTTGCAATTAGCTGTAACTCCTGTGGGTCAGTTCCCAACGTGCATCCCCCATGGGAATGAGGCATTAAACTTGTTCAGTTGGAAACAACTTGTCGTCTTGCAGATCCAAATGCCAACATGTGTCTTGTCTGCACGTTTGTTAGCTGAATGCTGGGTTAATTTTTAACGGTTTCGGTTCTGGTTTTAAGGAATCCTGTGCCGGAGGGCAGGTGGGGAGGGGTTGGGTTTGTGTTTGTAAAAGTTTTGTTCCCTCTCTGATGGGGGCAAGAGAGAAGGAGCAGGCACTGTTGCAGGTACATGGAAGCAGGAGCTGGCAGGGCTGAAGATGCCTCATTTTGGGTGTGCTTGGTCTCCTGAGATCTGATGCCCAGCACCTGTAGCTTCTCATCACTACGTGAGACACCCTCCTCTGTCTACCTGTGCTTTTGGAGTTGGAACAATGTTGTGGTGAACAGCAACTCATGAATAAAAGAAATGTATATTTTTAAGAAAAGAGATGAAATAATTTTTGAAAAAGTTTAGCGAAGGCAATGTCTCTGGAAAGACTCAAAAGTATTCTTCACGTCTCTTCCTGTTTTAGATAGCCTTTAGGATTGGCTGGATGCCTGGATCTGGCCAGGAGAGCAATCCAGAGAGAAAAGGTCTGCTCTATTCCACCCATATGTCCTAAAGGATAATTTTCTATTTTTATATTGAAGCATTAATTACTTGTTAGCTCAGGGTCAGCATTATACTCAACTTTATTTTCACACCAAATTTCTGCAAAGCTATAAAGACAGAGTATTCTTGGCTGGTATAAATAATCCTGGAGGCTTAATTTTACTAGAAGTAGCCAGTTATTTATTAAAACATGATGTTACTAGAGTTAGGGATATTCTGGTTAGATTATTTTTCTTTAGAAAATAAATCATGGAACCATAAAATTGAAAAAATTATAAATTTATGTGTGGGAAAAAATGGATTGTAAATAGCTAAGTTGTCTTGCGAGGAACTGGAAAATGTGCTGATACTTAGAAACTACCTCAGTTCTGAGGAATTTCCTTTCTAGCTTTGAGTGCTATTGCATTTACTTGGTAGAAGTGAATCTGGTCTCCAATATGTAGCTGAAAGAGTTATCCCTATAGACCTTGTTAGATTGTTTTTAATTTAGAGGGTTGAACTACATCCAGCTGTTTTCTTTCAGCAAAGTTCCCTAACAAAGAGAATTTCTGAATTAAATATTGCTGATGGTTTCCATGACTTTTCCTGATTTGTTTGGTTTCATGGCATTTTCTGATTGCCCTTTAATTATTTAAATGGTTCTAGCCATTTGAATTTTAATCCTGAAATAAACAAACCTTAGATGCACTACCATTGTAAATATATCGCAGTAAGGTCTGACTGGATAACCCTTCTGGCTCATACCCAGCTGGCAGGCCAGCAGAGTTAAATGAAGAAAAAAAAAGAATAAAAAAAGTAAAACTTCTTCAGAGCTCTGAGATTGGTGGAACAAAAGCCCTTATGTTCAGAACGGCTGCCTGCTCCAACATCTCCCTTCTTGGCCTAAGTGTTCTTATGTAAGAAAGTTCCTTGTAAATTCTGGTTTTGAGCATTTCTGCTCAGAAAACAAAAACACTTCTGAATTTATATTTATCATTTTATAACTAATTGCTCACTAAGTACTATTCTTTAGTTTGGTACAAGCCACCAATGTAAAGACCTCCCATCAGTTTTAAGCGTGTCCAGTTGACTTCGTTAATAGCACAAGAGACTTTCCAGTATATAAAGGACAGATTTGTCACCTGGGGCTGCAGGAAACAAGAGTAAACATCAATGTAGGACGATCAAAAGTTGTGTTCCTGCTTTTATTTTGTGTTTGTGTGTGAAGTTGGCTCTCTGACATGAGCTTGTAAACTAAACCATACGGGAAGGGATGAGACATGCTGCTCCCTTCGGGGAAGGCATGTGCTCCCCTCTTTCATATGTTTTTTGTTGGGTTTTTTTTTCCCATGTGATCAATGCCATTATGAGCATGATTTAAAGAAAAATTCCCATATATAGAATTAATTATTAAAGTTAATGGAGCTGGTAAGTGCTCTTCAAATGCAAAATGAAGCAGAAAGTTGGTGTCCTTGGCAGCATGGGAGGTGCTGTCTCCCAAAGTGCTGGAATTAAAAGATCCAGCTCTTACTAGGACCTGTTTTAACAGCTCAGTGCCTGTCCTGAAATGGCTTCACAGGTGGCACGTGGAGGGGGAAAAGGAGAGCATGTGATGGGGCTGTGATCAGAGTCTCTGATTTTGTGCTGTGTTTGTGCCCCCCCATGTCAGGACAAATGGCCACAGCAACAAGAGGAGTCTCCACACTCCAGGGCAGGGTCCTGCTCTTGTCCTGGCTGAGCCAACCTGTGTTTGTCCTCATGGCAAGGTGGTGTATTAATTCTGGAGCGTGCAACCTCTCAAAACAGTGGTCATTTCTTACACCAGATCGTGCTCTTGTTCCCATCACCAGCCCCTAATTGCTTTGATTGATGCCTGGCTGGACCAGGCAAGCCCTCTGGTTTGGTTCTGGCTCCTTCCTCATCGTAGCATCTGGTGTTGGGCATCTCAGAGCACAGCACATTAAAATCCCTTCCATCTTTTTGGATGCTGTTACTTATCCTAGAGTAGTTTCCAGCCCTGTTTGTCACCTTTCTCACAATGTCACTCTCTTCCCTCCTACGTGCAGCCCAGTGTGAATGTGGCAGTCTCCCCCATCAGGCTGCTTGTGCCCTTCACTGGCCAGCACAAAACCCACAGCATTTGCTCTTGTCCTTGGGGAAGCCCATGCCACATCTCCACAGCCTAGTGGCAGACACCCGGGTTTTGCCCAGTGCAGACCAGCCTGGAGCATCCTGGGGACCCTGAGAACCAAGGACTTGGGGGTGTGTGCAAGCTGATGGGCATTGCTGCTGCAGGAAATCAGGGCTTGGACAAACCCATCTGTTTATTGGAGGAAAATTACTTGCACTTATGGGGTTTTTTTTAATGTTGATGGCTTTCTTTTTCCATGTGAGCTCCACTGGGGTCACTGCAGTGTCTCTGCCAGATGTGATGGCCTGGGGACACTTGCCTGCAGTGGTTCATAAACCAGCACTGCAGTTCTGGCCAGGCTGGCAAGATTGCCTGACCCCTGCTGCTTCTCTTCCTTAGAATGTTCTCTAGGACTGGTGGTAATTTAAAAATAAATAGAAAAATGTGTAGAAAGGGGTGAAAATTGATGCAGGAACACTGCAGTACTGATCCCAAATGGTGAAGTGTGCTGTGCTTCATGGCATCTTTCAAATTGCTGGGATTTAATGGTTTAAGATACCTGAAAGACGCAGGTTGGTAAAAGATGATGCAGTAGTGGTGGTTTTAGGACCGCCTGAGTGTGAACTAGCCCTGGTAATAGTTTTCATTTCTTGATAATGCTGGGTATTTCTTGATAATTTCAGGAATCAGGTTTTCTGGGTTTGGTTTGCTTTTCTTGTTCCTTAATCCTCTGCTGTGGTTTGTTTGATCGCTTGTAGCAGTGTAAATTGCCTGGGAAGACACAGCTCTTTAAGGGCTTGCTGTAATTTTAGGTTAAGTGTGCTCAAATTGCTGTAATTTGTATCTAATGGATTACATGGATTGAGAGCCCTTTTATAACTGTTGGAGCAAGGAGGGGCTGCCTGCCCTGGGAGGAAGGGAAGGCATCCTGGGCACGCGGGTCCCTTTGTCCCTCTTCTCTGGGACAACTGTCCTTTTCATGATCCCGGGGCTGGACAGCCTGGCACAGCTGGGGACACAGCTGGCTGCAGGAGGAGCAGGCAGCAAAGAAGCTTTTGCTAAACCCAGAAGGTTTTGGGGGTTGCTGATGGTAAGTCCTGATGTGGTGCTGCTCTCCCTGTGCTGTTGGGTGGGTAACAACTGGGGATGTTTTTCCTCCCTGGACCTGCTCTGCCTTGACCAAAAGGAGACCCTTTTGCCTCTTAGCCTGCTCACTACGATGAGCAGTGGCCCTGTGGTTCCTTGCTGCCCTGGCTCCTTTTCTCCAAACCTTTGATCTTTGTGGTGGTTCCTGTTGTGCATTCCCTGTGTCCCAGCAGCAGCAGAGTGGGAATGTATCTCACCCATGGACCTTGGTGATCTCCCTTGCCAGCCATCTCCACTCAACACCAGCCAGGGATTGCTGCAGCTGCTGGAACAGAAGTTTTGATTTTAAAAGCAGCTCTTACTAGCATCAACAAATCTGCTCCACTTGTTAATCATTGACATGGTTTAGTGGTGGACCTGGCATTCATAGGCTAAGAGCTGGG